TGGGGGCGAGAGAGAAAGTAACTCCAGGACGAGACCAGAGCGACCCGCGCAGCAAGCATAGGCGTCAAGGCTGTGCCGGGTGCCGGAGACCCAGACCCGGCGGCTGCAGGGGGCGGAGGCTGCGCCCAAGCCTGATCCGCCGCTCTGGCTCTGAGGTAAGCCCTGCGCGGTCTGCTACCCTTCAGCACTGCGCACCCCTGTCCCCAAAGTGGCCGCGATGCCAAGAAAGTCGCGTAGCCCGGGGTTCTGACCTGGGCGGGGGTGGCTGCTTTGTCCCGATACTGGGTGGCTGGGGCTGGCGGCGAGGGGGCGCAGAGCACAAAGGCCTGGCGCAGGGAGGGGGGTGTCCACGTGGGGTTGTCCTGGCCGCTGGTGGACCCTCCCCAAGCGGGCGGGCGCCAAGCTTCCTGCCATGCACTAGCGGGGCTGAGAGACTCTCAGGTCCCCGCGCTCTGTACGGAGAGTACAGGGCCAAGCGCCCTGCAGGTCCCGTGAGTTTCCGGGGTCAGAAGCTAGCTTGGGCAGCTGGGGCTTCAGGACGATCTGGGCCCGATTTGGCGCCCAAATCAGGAGAAAAAGTCTCTAACGGGACAGATGTGCGTCCTCTGATGTCTACTCCTACAGTCCGCAGCGGGGAAGGAAGAGTCCCGCGCATGGGGTCGGGGGAGGGTCCGCGGAGACCACCTCGCAGCCTCTGGAGCCCTGCTGGACGCGCGCGTGGGGCACGCACCTCAGCCTTCTCGCCCCCTCCAAAGGGCGCATTCCCGCCCCTGGGGGCACCCACCCACCCTCGACTGCATAAAAATAAGCTTCAAGTTTTCTCAAATGTGCATGAAGGAATTTAACTGCACGAGTGAATAACGCCATTAGTTTCAATTATTTTTTTTTAAATCCCAGCAACAATAAACTTTGAGAACAAAAGCGCTCTTACGTCCTTAATTAGGCGAGCTCCCCATCTGTGGTCTCCAAGTGTCTGTGCCTCTTGATTTAACTGTCCGCTCCCCGCCCCCGCCGCACACCCCTCCCCGCCAGGCCAAGGCGCTTCTAGCACCACCCCCGCACTACTGTGGTGCCCGGTGCCCGCGGGCTTCGGCCCAGCCGGCTGTGGCTGCTCTGAAGTTCACATGGGCCGACGTGCTTTGCTATCCAGCCGGCTCTCACCAAGTGCCCCACCCGCCTCCTTGCAACCCTGCACCCGGGACCTTTCTGCAGCTCTCGGGGTGTTGGGGGGGGCACCCTCGCCCGGGGCCGGCGCTTAGGGCGCAGAGCTGAAGGGAGCTCACGGGCCGCCTGTTTACCTTTTATGGTTAAAATAACAGCTTCGCAAAGAAGCGACTTCTAGAAGCGATTTAGTGAAATCGTCTCAAGCTGCTGCAGCACAGCCAGTTTAATCACCCCCAGAGAGCTGAACAACTGCGAGCACAATGGGACACAAAATCATTTTGTGTGTAAATGAGTGTGGCGTTCTGCTCGCTTCCCTCTGCCCGTGCGGGCGGGGCTCGGCGGCGGGGTGGGCGCGGGACCAGGGTCTCCCGCCGCAGCTCATTGAAACGGGTCCATACGGAGCTAGTTTGGAAACCCGCTGGCCCTCCTGCGCGCTGCTGCTGAAGCTCCTGCAACAGGCAGTTTAGCCCAGCTCGGGAGGGCCAGACGCCGGGCCTGGGCTGTGGGTTTGGATGCTGTTGGTGGTGGCCTGAACTTGGGTCTCTTACTGCTCCCACTTTTACATTTCTGACCTCTGCAGTGGTCTTGGGGGAAGGCCGGTGTCCAGCACCAATGCGTTTGTCCAAGGGAGCACCAGAGGTTCCGGTCAAGGCATAAAGCCTGGGGCTTCCAATGGTGAGTCTTGGGGATCCACCAAGGGCATACTAGCTTTGGAAAAGGGCTTGGGTGAGAACAGGACAGAGTCCTGTGTGGTGAGTCCTAGGTGTTGGCTGTCACTCTGGTAGGGTGCCTCACGCAGTCTGCTTAGAAAGAATTTCAGCGGAAATTCTTACTGTGCCCCTCAACTTTACTATGCCTTTCCTCCAGAGCCCTCCCCCACAAAGCTTCCCAGGGTACAATACCCATTCCTGGGAGGTGGGGAAGTTTGTTTGGGGTTCCCACAACTTCCTGGAGATGAGTGACCTGGACTGCTTTTTTCAGCCAGCTGTCACTCAAGAATACCAAGAACTTCCCCACCCTCAAGGAGGTTTAAGTTAAACATCACTGCCTGCCGTCAGCTACACTCATCCCCCCATGCTTACCCCAGTTCAGTGTCCTGTCGTTCACCAGGTCGCCGGGGACAGAGCACATCATAGCAGTGGAACCTTACTTTTATTTATACAGTATACTTCTCATTGGGCCTGGGTCTGAGATTTGGAATTGAATGCTGAATATCCTAACATTTGCAGTTTTAGTGCCAGAGTTTTAACAGGGCTAATCAGCCCCCTTGTGTCCCAAGAATTTCATATGGTGGTTCTCAGTGTGAGAACAAAGTTCCTTACACCCACTCCCATGAAGGCAACTTAAACTTGCTCCATACTTAGTGCACAGGTCCTGTGAAGAGCTCTGGGAGCGGCTTCTGCGCACTGAGGGACAGTCTGATTTGAGGTGGTTTGTGGCACAGAGGTTGGGAAAGTCTCTGAGAGCCTGTGGAGGAGCAGAAGTGGTCCATTTGCTGGGCTGCTGTTTCCTCCTGGATGCTTTCTGAGGCCTGGGGGGATGGGGGTTGGGAGCGGGGAGCATCCTGAGGGGTCTGGAAAACATTAGGCATCCTGGGATTCCGGAGAGAAGCCAGGAGGTACCGACTCTGGCAGACAAAGACAGGTTTTTGTGCTGTTGGAAGCCCATGGTGAGAGATGGCTTCCCCAGTGATGTTCCCTTTTCGCTGGCTCTGGCTTTCCTGTGTCCTGCCAGCCACAGCTGCACGTACATGGGAGTGGGGCCTGGTTAGGAGAGATCTTAGACTCCCCAGCCTGTGAAAGGTGCAGAGTCCTCTCTCAGCCCCAACCCAGAAGGTTCTCTGCTGATGCAAGAGGAGACACACTTGGTAATGTGACTCTAAACCAGAATACCAGGAAAATCAGATTTGTTCTGAAACGTTTTGGGCCAATAATGGTGAGCATATGTTTTAGTACCTGTCATTAGCTGAATTAACATAGAGCTGCCTGGAAAACACATGTGAGAGTATGTGTGCCTGCATATGTGTGAGAGAGAGTTGTCACGGCCCAGGGTCTTGCTTTCAGAGGTGGGCAGATTAGGGTGATGCGAGCAATGATAGTGCTGGATGGAATGTGGAGCAGAAGAAGGGTTAGCTATCTCAGGTGCTGCATGGCATGGGATCCCAGAGCGTGTGTGTAGGAATGAAGATTCCGAATGTCTTTGATGCCATGGAGGGAGGACAAGGCAATTGGTAAATAAGCCGTATGGTATGTCCTGCTTCCTGCAGATACACTGGGCAGCAATGGACGCCTAGATGCCTCACCGCAAGGAGCGGCCGAGCGGGTCCTCGCTTCACACGCACAGCACTGCGGTGAGAGCCAGTGGGGTGGGTTGGGTCAGTGGCCTCTGGGCCCTCTGTCTTTGCCTCTTCTGAGTGTCTGCTCGATGCCTGCTCTTCCTCTTTTTAGCAACACTCCAGGGCTAGCCGTTGACTAGCTGTACAATTATGTATTTTTTAAAGAAACAAAAAAAATGCTCTTAATTTGATGGGAAATTTACTACATGTATAAAACTCAATGCCTTAGGTGCCGAGGAAGTCACTAATTTAGAGGTGTCTCGTTACTGAGACAAACTTGCAAAAACCCCTGAATCCCAATTCACAAATTGGTGATTCGTTTGTCAGGGGATATTTCACATCTAACACATAAGCCCGCGACCTTTAATTAGAATTTTGCAGTTTGTTTTATGCCCCTGGAGGCTGACACCTTGGAAAAAAATTTTTTTTCTGGATTTCTTATTGCTAATAAGCATCTTTCCTTTCTTCCCCCCCCTCCTTTCTCTCTGCCACCCCCCTCCTTCAGTACTTTGAAGAAAATGATGCAAATACACTTAATTACAGTGGTGGCCATAATTTGTCAGCTGAAAATGTGATCAGGCAGAGGCAGAAGTGATCTGATTAGATCTGTGATCACACTTAGAAGAAAGGGAGTAAGCCGCTCCTTCAACAAGCAACTCTAGTTTTCTGCCTTGTTTCCGCTTCCAGGAGGGAGGAAGCATGTCCCGGTTGTCTCTTACCCGGTCGCCTGTGTCACCCCTGGCTGCCCAGGGAATTCCATTGCCCGCCCAGCTCACCAAGTCCAACGCACCTGTGCACATTGATGTGGGTGGCCACATGTACACCAGCAGCCTGGCCACGCTTACCAAGTACCCCGACTCCAGGTAAGAGCTGAGCCCCTGGCTCATGGTGGAGGGTCAGTTTCAGCAGCCTACTGCCTGTGGGGCTCCTGTCCCCCAGCTGTCACCAGGGCACAGGCTGATGCAGACCCAGAGATCTGGGCTTGGGGCAGCTGAGGCTGCCTGCTGATGCTTTGCCCAGGGCCTGGTGATCCGGGCTTGGCAAATTCACGAATGCACAGTGGAGTGCCTTACCTGCCACTGGAGGGCATGACCTTCAGGTTCTTCTGGAGCCCGGGCTTGGCTTTTCTGGAGTCCCCTCTGTGAATGACACTGACTACTTGGGAGGGAGGGAAAAGAGAAGTGCTTAATCCTACTTCATATTCTGACTTTTGTGGCAATGTACACGATGTACAGGGTGAGGAGAAAGGGGGAGGACCCGTGTGTGGTTTGCTACCATTGTCTGCTTGGGCGGCCGCCATCAGACTTAAAAGGCTGCCGGTGACCTCTGAGATCTGGGGGTTGTGGTGGCCAGTAGGTGCCTCCAGGATGTTTGGTGACTCCAGGGATTGTGGCAAAGGATAGGCCTGATATATCCATCAGTTGATACAAGGCTCTCTGGCTGAGAGATTTGAGGAGTCTTCTCAGTAGGGAGTCTTCTACTTTGCTGAGCTCACATGCATTTCTGGGGCCCATGCCAGTCATTGGTAGCCCCCATCTCCTGCTCTTGCCTCTAGGAGCTTCCCTTCTGGGGAGGATCTGTCTTTTCTGTGGGTTAGCATCTAGGTTCACTGAGTTGGGGTGAGCCTGGGAACCTCTCAAGCTGCTGACTACGTGCTTCTAGCACAGCCAGGCAGTCTTCACTCTCCCTGGGCATGCCTAAGGCTAAGCTCAGAAGGGCTAAGATCACCCCTGTTTCATACACTTAAAATAACAAGAGGAGTTAATTAATCCCCCAGACGCCCAGGGACCGGCCTTGGAATCATGTATGCCAGGCTGGCTCCCTGTTGTCCGTGTGACTGCTCGGAGCAGGAGGCTTTGTGGTGCGTGGTGGGGACTGTGCCTGGGGGGGTCACTGAGGGTTGGGATGGAGCTCTGTGCAGGGCTGTGGATGTGCCTCCCTAGGAAGACATTGGCGGCAGACATGGAATCAAGGGGTTCCACGGTACAGATGGTGATGGGGCTCTGGGGGCAGGGAACAAGGCAGCGTCAGTGGTACTGGCACTTGCACTTGCTGGCAGAGCCCTGTCTAGGTGGGAGATGGATTCTGCTTATTTAATTTCAATTTCGCCTTCTGCAGCATTCCCAAGTTGTTTGAGATAGATCATTCCGTAATGAGTTGATGACGTTTGTCAGTTAAATCCATAAAACCTTTGCCCACAACCTTCTCTGAAGAGCATTTCCAAGAACCAGAAGCTTTGCTTTCTAGAGTAACTACAGTCCTGTCCTCCATGGAGTGAGGGGTGAAGGAGGCAGTGTGTGGCTGCCCCCACCCACGCCCACCATGGTGGCTCACTTTACCGATTGCCCTACTTTAAGGTGGGGATGCCTGTCACTGGGATATCTGCTGGTGTGTCCTGAGGGGTGGCCATCGGCATTTTTTCTGGGGAGTGGCCTCAAGATGAAGCTGCCCTGCTGCCTACGTGACATCAAGCTCTGAGGACAGCACCTCCAGGGCCTGAAGCTTTAACCTGGAGACCAGAGGCTAGTGGGCCCTACAGGGCAGTCAGGACAGACTAAGTGACTCAGGCCAGGTTCCAGAAACGGGCTGTGTAGGCGTGCTGTGGAGGGCCGCTTGAGCCTCTCCTCACCTTGGCCAGTTGTTAGGATTTAAGAACTGGTTTCCACCAATTCTGGAAAAGAAGATCAGTCCCTCACCCATTGTCACTAATGAGTGAGTCACCAGAAGTGGAGAATTAAGAGTGCCTAGGGGCTTCTGTATAAGGAGCCTTGGTGGCAGAGTGTGTGAGGCATCAGGCTGCTAACTGAAAGGGCGGTAGCTTGAGTCCACTGGCTGCTCTGTGGGAAAAAAATGGGCAGTCCGTAAAGATTTATAGCTTTGATACCTAAAGAGGTCTGATCTGACTTGAAGGCAATGGGTTTGTTGGGTAGTAAAGGGCCTCTTCACATCAGCTGTCCCTAGTAGCACTGTGAGAGCCAGGAGGCTTGGTCTCCATAGTCTGGGCTACCATGCCCATAGAAGTCTGCCTGGCCTCATTCTTGACTGGCCTGCATGTTCCAGCATAAGGAAGAGGGAAGCCTGGTTGCCACGTGCCGCCTCTGGCCCCACCTCTCCCAAGAACAGCTGGGGATCCTCCACAGGAATAGTCCAGCACAGCAGCCTGGGGCTGAGCAGAATCTTTGGGTCTGTACCTTCACTGGGGCCCTGCCTTCTGGACATGTTGAAACTGCTACAGTCTCGGATTCTCCCTGACATGCCCACTGGCTGAGGGAAGCAGCAAATTAAGGTGGCCAGGAGCTTCAAAACAAACCAAAACGTCAACTGGCATAATCGGAAAATTGGAGGCAGAGCATAACAAGTCAGATAGAGGACCCACCCGTGTGATGTCCCCGCCTTGTGCACATGAGAACTGGGTGTTAGTCTCTATTTCTTCTGCCCTGGTGGTCTCAGCTGCTAGTTCTACAGTCTCCTGTGGCCTAGGAGACATATGCAGCCACTCATAAAGGCCCAGTGAGGTGACAGCAGGACCTGGGCACCTAAGACCCCGCAAGTAGCAGGGACTGCCTTTGTGGGGTTGTCTGTGACAGCCCTCCCACTCAGTCCTTCTTGAGGGCCCCAGACCCTGTGAGAAGCTGCTCTGCTGCCAGTATATCCTGGAGCAGACACTGAACTCTTGCCCTGAAATAAGGCAGACTGAGCATTTTCTAATCTTGGCCCATAAGACAGCGTAGAAGCCAGCCAGCCCTGGGATGTCACAGGATGGTCAAAAACTCAGCCAGCCCTGATCATTGGAGGACTTGGAACTCAGCCTGACATAGGACATAGCTAACTTCACAGAACATCAGGGTGCAACCAGAAAGGATAGGGATGCTCCCCAGGGATGCTGAAGCCTGGGATCTGCTTACTCAGCTGTGGTTCTTGCTCCTTCTTATTGATACCAAGTTGGTCCTAATGCCTGCATATGGCACCTGGCACAGTCAGATCTTTCTCCGAGGATGCAGGGGGTAACTCTCACTCTGACATCTAAATTCCCAGGATGTCTGGAGGCCAGAATCTGGGGCTTTGAGGAATGGATGGGCTATGGAGCCCACAAGTTCCAGCAGAGTATAGAGCCCCACGCCCCATGCCCCTTGTACTCAGGCCGGTGCCTAGGTGGTCACCAGGGTACGGTGGGACACATTCACTGTGAACTGTTTGTGTGTATGTCACCTCTGGAGTCCTCAAAGGAGTTGGGTCTGAGGTATTCACTTGCCTGTAGCTCCAAATATGCCAGCCTCTCCACGCCTCACTGCAAGCTCTGACCCGCTCACACCACCCATGCAGCAACCTTACCCTTCAAGCAGGTCATAAAAAGGCTCCCCAACATAAAAAGCCCTGAGCTTCATGGTTAAATTCTATCAAACATTCAGAGAAGATCTATCACCAATGCTACTTATTTCAAAAAATAGAAAAAGAAGTAAAGATAGTATCAAAAAAAGAAACTACAGACCACTACCGCTTGTGAATAATATATATAGATGCAGAAATCCTTAACAAAATCCTGGCTGATAGAATCCAGCAGCACATAAAAAAATTGGTCTTGACTAAATGGGATTCTTAACAGGTATGAAAGGATGGTTCACCATAAGAAAAACTACATTATTCATCACGTCAACAAAGCAAATAACAAGAACCACATGATCTTAGTAATTGATGTAGAAAAGGCCTTTGACAAATTTTCCAACAACCTTTCTAATCAAGGCACTCAGTAACATAGGAATAGAAGGAAATTTCCTCAACATTATGAAAAGTATATATGCAAAATCAAGAGCCAGTATCATCCTAAGGGAAAAAGACTAAAAGCATTCTCCTTCCAAACAGAGGCCAGAAAAGGGTGCCTTCCGTCACCACTTCTATTTAATATTTTATTTTAAGTACTTGCTAGGGCAATATGAAAAGGAAGTAAGACGAATCAAGGGCTGCAGAGAGATGGTTAAGCTATCACTATATGCAGATGATATAATAGTGTACACAGAAAACTCCAAAGACTCAACAAAAACCCTATCAGAGTTAGTAGACAAATTTAATAGAATAGCAGGATACAAGATAACTATATGCAAGTCTGCAGGATTCCTCTACAGTAACAAAACAGAAACGGAAAATAAGAAAGCAATAATACCATTTACAATAGCAAACCACAAATTGAGGCACTTGGAATTAAACCTATCGAGATCCAAAAAGACCTTTACAAAGAAAACTACAAAACACTTCTGCAAGAAACCATAAAAGGCCAAAATAAATGAAAAAATGTTCACTGTTCATGGATGTTGTTGTTGTGATGTGCCATCGAGTAGGAAGACCCAATATAGTGAAAATGACAGTCCTTCCAGAAGCAGTCTACATGTTTATCACAATCCCAATACAGTTATCAAATCCATTTTTCAAAGATTTAGAAAAGGCAATTGGCAAGTTTATTTGAAGAGGAAAGAGACCCCAAATAAGCAGAGCACTTAAGAAAAACAAGAATGAAGTGGGAGGCATAGCTCTCCCTGACTGCAAAGCCTACTTATACGCCTTGAACCCTAACCCTAACCCTAACCCTGCTGGGACAAGAACTGGACTGCACCTCAGAGAAGCAGGTGACTGCACGGCTGCTCCATTCCTGGACAGACCCTGGGGCTGATGCCCTGTGAGCTGGGCCCCTAGAGCAAGAGACCATGTGGCGTGAGTCCCTCAGAGATTTAAATCCCTCTTTCTGTCTGGATGACAATGGCAGTGGTGAGACAGAGCCTTCGGAATGACTGACTTAGGACAGAGGAAGGGACTACGTTGGGGAGAGAGCTTATTGTTAGGTGACCCTGCGAACAACAGATCTATCCTGTGCCATCCTCATCCTCTCTGACATACTTGAACCTGTTGATGAAGTCACTGTGTCAGTCCATCTCGTTGAAGGTATTTCTTTTACCCACGCTCCAGCTTTCCAAGCATGAGGCCCCTTCCAAGGAATAACCTCTCTTAGCAACGTGTCCAAAGTATGTGAAATGAAGCTTCACCATCTTTCTCCCAGACATATCTGTTTGTTCTCTTGGCAGTCCGAGGAAGAGGGGAGTAGCCCTGAGAGTGTCCCTGCCTGGGTAGTCAGAGAGGGAAGAAGGAGCTGTTGGCATCAGCTTGAGGCTGGGCCAGACTTAGTCCTAGGTCAAGGCCACCTCCTCTCAGGCTCCTCAGACGAGCTGTTATCTAGCTGGGGACGAATGTGGTCCTGCCTGCTTAAGAATGGTGGTGCTTTTGTGGGAAGTCCTGTCTCTGAGCCATGTACTTGGCCAACTGCTCTCTGTAGTCTTAATAATTGCCTATGCATTAGCAGAGGGAGTTAGCGGAATCCAAGGCTGCTGCCCTCAGTCCTGGAGAGGCTCCAGCCTGGCCGTGAGGCCCAGTCCCATTTTCTGAGTTGATAAAGGACAGGCTCAGGGCTGTGGGTCCTGCATTTTGTCAGTGGGACTTGCTGCCCTGTGGAGTACATCATGATGTGTGGCGTGTATGCTCCTTTGTGTGCATTGTGGGGGCTGGGGGTGCACTGTGTGTGTGTGTGTGTGTGTGTGTGTGTGTGTGTGTGTGCGCGCGCGCGCCCACGCGCACATTGTGTGCTTAAATTTTAATATTAATCATAAAAGGACCATCATGCTTGGAAAGGTGGAGGGATGGTTAAAGAGAGGAAGACCCTCAACTAGGTGAATTGACACAGTGACTGTAGCAGTGGGCTTGATTGTGTCAGAGATGGTAAGGATGACACAGGATAGGCCAGAGTTCACATGTTTTTTTGTAGGGTTGCCATGAATTTAATGACACCTAGCAACACAATAACATAAATGTGTGCATGTGTGTGCGCAGACACGTGTGGGGGGTGTGCAGGTGCACTGTGGCATGTGCACAGCATGCTGGGGGTGTGCGTGTGTGTGTCAGCATGTGCATGTCTACACTATCCTGCTTTCCCACTTTTTCCTTTTTTTCACTCTTTCTCATTTCTGTCCCTGTCACTTCTTTACCTGTGGCCTTTTCAGGGACACAACTGTGTCCCGGGCTGGCTCGTACCAGCTGGTGTGGGTCTAGAAGTGTTTGGGTCTGCTGTCATTTGTGGCCCTGTACCTGCTCTCTCGGTGCGGGGTCTGGGGCCTGCTGTGCTGGTGGAAGGATGTGGTAACTGGACTCTCTGGTTCTCATCCTGTAGCTTGGCTTCTCTTTGCTTGTTCCTTGGACTGTGTGACTGTGGTGTCTGAGGGCTGATGTGAGATTTTGGGGCTTGTCTGGTCAGGGTGTGTAGATCAGGTCTTTGGCTGGCTGACTTTTATGGGGAGTGAGGTGGCTGTGTCTTGCTAGTTTTCCAGAGCTGTAAGGAGGGGCAGGCTGGTGTGCACAGCAGGGTGTGATGGTATCCGTCAGGGGCCGTTCATGTGGACAGATGCTGCACACAGGTGTCTCATCTGACTGTGATTGGTGCCCCACCCTCCTGTCCCACCTTGTATGCAGGCATGTATCCCCCAGCACAGTCCTGGAACAGGACCAGAGGACTGAGGTTAGGTCAGAAGGGCTTAGCACCTTCCCTCAGACCCTCCAACCTCCTTCCTCTGCTCTCAGAATAAGCCGCCTTTTCAATGGCACCGAACCCATCGTCCTGGACAGTTTGAAGCAACATTACTTCATTGACCGGGATGGGGAGATCTTCCGCTATGTCCTGAGCTTCCTGCGGACGTCAAAACTCCTGCTCCCAGATGACTTCAAGGTATGGCCGCAGCTTGGGGCTCCCCCCAACACAGTGCACGCAATGGCGTTACACAGGGGATGCTGTGACTTAATAAGTGACCCCATGGTCGTCATAGCAACCATGAAAAGTTAACCAGTGGAGCTGGGAGCTGAATCAGTTTTTCTCTTACACTTTTAGCTTATTTACCAGGGTGTAACCACAGTTAAGCAATTGCAGTTACCCTAGTTTAACGTTTGTCACGTGTGAGTAGAGTTGTAGGTCATAGTTACAGAAGGGAAGGTGCCTTAGTCTATCCCTTGTTGGCGATTTACAAGGGGACCTGCCTTGAATCAAACCAGACACCCACTAGGCAAAGTTTGCTGTTGTTTATATACTGTCCAGTCATAGTTGACCCTTCAGTCAGTTTTCAGAGGCAGTAAGTCACACAGAGAGATTGCCCATTTTTCTTCCATGGAGCTCAAAGATTCCAACCACCTGGCTTTAGGTTGCAGCACAACTCCTTACCATTAAGCCACCAGAGCTCCCTGCATACAAGTTTAACCTTGAGTAATGATGTTACTCTCAGGAGTGAAGGCAAGAACTAGAAAGAAGGTGTGATGAGGCCAGGGCCTTGGGCACTGGGAGGGGAACGAAAGGGGCTGCCCTTTGACCTTTAGAACCTGGAGGGAAGGCTGGACATTGGCATTTTATTGTGAATAAAATGGGCAGATGAGGAAGGAAAAGCAACTTTGTTTAATTGAAACTATCCCTCTGGTGGTCAATGTGAAAAGGACCCAGGCAGGGTGGAGTGGGCTGTCTAGGTGGGGCTGCTTTCCTAGGCCACAGAAGTAATGTTGGAAGCATCATTCCCAATGTTGAGAAAGATGGAGCTAGCTGGCTGTGTTCAGAAAGAGGTCCCAGGGTGGATAGTCCAGGCAGGGGTGTGGTACCCACCTCCTGTATGGAGGTGCTGCTGGATGTGGGGTGGAGACAGGCTATGAGGAAAAGGTGGCAGTTCTTGGTGTGCATATGTCATTCAAACCCTCAGGGTGGAGTGGAGCAGGCTGAGCAGAGGCCTCTGTGGAATCTAGCCTGAGGGACTCTTGCCAAGGGTCCCTTGGGTCTCTGGTGACAGGTCTTGGGACTTGAGCCTTCCCTGGGGGCATTCCACAGGCTAGAATAGCAGATAGAAGGCACTCGGGAGAGCCTGTGGGGCAGGCCCTCCTCCTGGAGGTTGGGCTTCCTTGCCTCTCCTTCAGGGCCCTTGGCCGGCCAGGCATGTGACAGGCCTTGAGCCACTCAGGGCTGGGCCAAGTGTAGGACGTGTCTGGCAGGGTAGGAGGCTGATGTCTGCTCCGGGTGGTGACATAGTTTGGTGTGATAATCCTCCCAGCTCAGGAGCGGGTCTGCTGGGTTTCCCTTGCCCCATGCCTCCTCACACTAGTCGTCAGGGGTCTGCTTGGGCAGGGCCAGGCACCTGTCAGAGTTTATATCTTCTCTGAGATGGGCATTTGTGTGCATTTTGTGCTGAGGCTTGGAGAGATTCAGAACTGAGGCTCTAAGCTCCCTAGGCTGGTAGACAACAAAGCCAAAGTCCAGCCTAGGCAGGCGTGAGTGACTGGCGAGAATACTTGTCTAATGGACTTTTTTGCTGGACTGTGAGTGTCTCCCAGACAGGTGAGGAGGGGCTGCTCCAGATCCAGTGTAGCCTCTCTTCTGGGGTGGGATCCAAGAAGGCAATAGGTCCCCAGACATAGGCACCACCTCCAGCTCTCCAGGGTGGTGTTACGTTTTCACACAAAGCTTTTCCCTGCCTGGGGTCGGGGGGGTGGGGGGGGTGGGCAAGTGGAAGGACTCAGGGGGTTCTGGAACAGATGCCGACCAGCTGCTCCTCTTAGGCAAAGACTTTTTATGTTGCACGCTTTGCCCCGGGCCTCACCTTCCCTATCTGTACAGTGGGGCTGACCTCTGCTTCCCTGGAGGTCCCTGCTCCCGTGGAGTTGGAGAAGGCAGACCCCTGCCCTCACCCACAGCCGGTATGCGTGTCCCCAGGACTTTAGCCTGCTGTACGAAGAGGCGCGATACTACCAGCTGCAGCCCATGGTGCGCGAGCTAGAGCGTTGGCAGCAGGAGCAGGAGCAGAGACGGCGCAGCCGAGCCTGCGACTGCCTGGTGGTGCGGGTGACGCCGGACCTGGGCGAGCGCATCGCGCTCAGCGGGGAGAAGGCCCTCATCGAGGAGGTCTTCCCGGAAACTGGGGACGTCATGTGCAACTCCGTCAATGCGGGCTGGAACCAGGACCCCACGCACGTCATTCGCTTCCCGCTCAATGGCTACTGCAGGCTCAACTCAGTGCAGGTGAGGCCTGCGGCCTTCCGCTCCCTCCCAGCCCTCACCTCTGCCCTGGCTGCCCAGGACACCCACCTACTACCTGGCACTGAGACACCGAGGGAGGCCCCAACCCTGTCACGGTGGAGCCCTCCCTGCCAGCCTACAGAAGAGGCAACAATGTGCCAATGCATAATTTATGTCCCACTCATAATTAAATGATGGCGCCTGCAGGATGGACTTAAAAAAATTGATCTGTACTTTTTTCCTCCAAAAAGATGTTCTATAAAAATGCCCCATAGTATTTGCAACAAAGTGTGCTTCATTTGATACCCAGAATCTCTGGATAGGGAGTCAGATTAGACCTAGGGATCCAGGAGAGTGGGGACAGGTCTGTGTAGAAGTGGTCTGAGTCCCTTTCCTGACACCACAGACCCTGGGGCCCTGGGCACCTCACAGCTGCCCAGTGCCTTTCCTTGCTGGATCTGAGACAAGCTAGTTGTTGCTATGTACTGTTGAGTAGGGACCAAGTCATAGCTGACCCTCCAGCAAGTTTTCAGAGGCAGTAAATCGCATTAGAAGAAATGGCCTATCTTTCTCCTGTGAAGCAGTTGGTAAATTTGAATCCTGTGCCTTTGGGTTGGCGGCGTAATCCTTATCACTTAGCCACCAGGGCTCTGAGACAGGCTGGAGCAGGGCCTCTTTCCCATCTACACTTTCCAAATTCAGTGTCGAGCAGAACAGGTTATCGGGGGGGAGAGCCCCCTCCCCCAAGTCTGCAGGCTTAGGAGTCGAAATGATATCAGACCTATGGGCAGATACTGCCGTGACACATGGACATAGGGCTCATGGAGATAGGCAGAGAGGATGTCCTCCAATTTCTTTGTACCCTGGGATCTGGTGCTAGAGCCCACAGACCTTGAACCACCTGAACCTCATGGCACTGGAGAAGCAGGTGGTTGCCTGGAGTCTGGGAGTGAGTAGGGATGCTTCATTACTGGGACAGATCTCAGGAGGGTGCCTGGGACCAGTTGTGTGTAGTGAGGGGTGGGATACACGGGGGTATCCTGGAGAAGAGGCAAGGGTCCCAGAGGCCCTGTCTCTCAAGTCAAGACTCTGCACCCCTGAGGATAGCAGGGTGGGGCGTCCACCCAGGTTTGGCCACTTGAGGGCCCCTGGACTAGCAACTCTGCCACTGACGGCTCCTGCCCTTCCCATAGTTACCCAACTGCTGGTTGTGCGGGGCCCTTGGTGGGTGAAGGAGACAGACCACGTCATGTGTCTGGGCACTTCTGACCTCTCCTTTCCCCAGCAGGTCCTGGAGAGGCTGTTCCAGAAGGGGTTCAGCATGGCCGCGTCCTGTGGGGGTGGCGTGGACTCCTCCCAGTTCAGCGAGTATGTCCTTTGCCGGGAGGAGCGGCGGCTGCAGCCCACCCCCACAGCCATCCGGATAAAGCAGGAGCCCTTGGACTAGGCCCTTCCCCAGTGCCCACCTGAGACCGCAGGGCCCCAGGGACATGCCCAAGACCTGGAGACCACAGCACTGAGAGTTCTACCTGTGTGAGCTCAGTGGTGGGTGTGACACTGAGGGTGGGGCGGATGCCTCCAAATGTCACCACAACAGCAGGTGGCATGCTGGAGGTGAACCCACTGGCGAACTGGTAAAGTGACCCAAAAGGCCACCGTGGGAACTCCACCATCTGCCACAGTAACATCGGAGGCTCCAGGGTCAACGGAGGAAGGGTCAGCAGAGGCTCCACTGCCCGTGCCCCCCAGGAGCTGCTTCCCTGTCTCCACGTGCATCAGACCCTGGTGGGTGTCCTCGCCTCAGAAATGGCTTATTTTTCTACAGTATTTAAGACAGAGGTGACTGCATCCGCACATGGTGGAGAGGCCACATGGACTCACGCTTCTGTCTCTGGTGCTCAGTTCTCGATCAGGCACGCAGTGTGCCCGTGCCGTGAGGGGTGGCCTGGGCATGCAGACATGACCCCTGCCAAGCCAGGGGCTCTGACACCTTCGTCTCTGTGAGGGACAGCATGGGGTAGCAGTCAGCAGCACTGGTGGAAAGCAGATGGGAGCAGGGTGGAGAGTGGATATAGATGGATGGCTGTGAAGCCATCAGGATCTTCATTTCACTGCCACCCCAGCTGGAAGGTCGCCTACCCATCTCGTCAAGCCCAGGGCTTCTGGTCCTGTGTGCGTGGTCACACTTGGGCTCCACATCCAGACCCAGCACAGGGCCACGCCACACTCTTACCTCAGGAATGGGCCCCGGGGTGAAGGGGCCCATCTATCAACAGCATTCTTTGGGTCCCCAGCTCAGGAAGCCGTCCCTAGCTGTTTTTCCCACAGTAATTATGCACACTGAATTTTAATTGAACTGTTGTTATGCTAGCTTGCCGATAAGTCATGGATACAGGCTCTTGTCCCCTGATTCCAGCGAGGCCTGGCTCCCCAGGGGTCCTCACAAGGCCCACTGCCTCACCCCTTGGCCTTGTCACATGTCCCCTCATGCTGACTCTTGAGAGCAGCAGCTGCAGAGGACTGCCCAGTGGGCAGGGCACCCTGTATACAGCACCTGTAGACCTGTATATGACTCCTTAATATTGTAAAGATGCTGATGTACAATTGTCATGTGTTTGTGTAAACACATTCTGTTCCTCGTTCATACCATAAACGATGCTAAAAAAACAAAAAGACTGAGGTTCCGTCCTGTGCTGGACAGTGCCTGGGTTCCTCAGTTCAACTTCATAGTTCAGATGGAGATGGAGTGGATGTAGGTAGCCAGGGCTAGGGCTTGGAGTTATCAATTACAATTTGGCGATTCTCTCTGTGCCCTCTGGACAGCATTGATTTAAGTTCTGATTCACAACCCCCCTACCAAATGAGGAAGACCCTTGATAAGATGAATTGACACCATGACTGTGACAGTGGGCTTGAGCATGGTGGAGACTGCGGTAGTGGTACAGGATGATGATGTTAAGTGCCATCAAGATGAGTATGACTCAAAGTGACCCTCTGACCAGAGGATCTGACACCTGGTCTAGTCTGTGCCCTCCTCACCATCTCTGATACACTTGTCTTCATTGCTATGGCCACAGTGTCGCTCCCTCTCATTGAGGGTCTGCCTCTTTTTCACTGAGGCCCCTCCTTTCCAAGCATGATGTCCTTTTCCAAGGATTTGCCCCTTCTAATCCCATACCCTTGGCAGCAGACTCTCCCAGTACTGTATGTCGTTTGATTTCTTGACTTCTGGTGCTGATGGTATTAATTGTGGACCCAAGCAAGATGAAATCATTGACAAGTTCAGTCTTTTCTCCAGCTATCATGATACTGCCTATTGGCCTAGTAGTGAAGATTTTTGTTTTCTTGATGTTGGAATATAATCCATATTGCAGGCTGTAGTCTTTGATCTTCTGCAACCAGTGTTTTAAGTCCTCCTCACTTTCAGCAAGCAAGATTGTGACATCTGAATAATGCAGGTTGTTGATGAGTCTGTCTCTGATCCTGATACACATCCTTCCTAAAGCCCAGCTCAGCATACAGAATGAACAGTTCTGGAGAGAGAGGGTACAGGATAGGGCATGATTTGTATCTGCTGTTCGAGTCACTATGACTTGTTGACTCGACGGTACCTAATGACAACAATAAATCAAATGTGAACTGGACAAGGGCAGGCAGGTGTCCAGGGGCTTCTGAACCTGGTCTTAAAATGTATTGTCTCTCTCACTGTCTTCTCGATGGAGTTCATGGCTTCCTTGCCCCACAGTGAGGTGTGAGAAGGTGGCTCAGGCCAGCCGGAGAGACAGAGCAAAATCTCAATCCATTTCTTTCCAGGAAAAGGAGTTTCAATGTTCATAGAGATCTCCAGTTTTAATGAATGTTAGGATTTTCCCTCAAAGCCTTTGTGTTCTTGCCACGAAGACCCTTTCCTGCACCCCATCAGCACCACAAGCTGTGACCTGCCTGTAAGGCTGGGCACACAGATCAGCTGCTTCCTGTCCAGGGCCACAGCCTGACGCCAGCCACCAAACAATCTAATTTGCTGGTCAAACTTGCTAGGCTTCTCTTTGGCTTAGCAGTGAGCGTGCAGTTGGCAAAGTCTGTGTTTTGGCATCTGAGAGGAAGAGAAAGTGTTGTGTTTGTCAGAAAGGAAGTCTTGTGAAAACAGCCCCACGCTGGGTGCCTCCATGGGTTTTTCTGGCATATTTGCACCATTTTTGATTGGAGAGGTTCTCACATTTCCACACAAACTTGTTTTGATTGAACAATGATGCTAAAACAAGGGATGGTTTTGAAGCTTTTTTTCTTTTGAAGCTTTTTTTCTTTATATCATTCAGTAAGGTAGAACTCTACCTTACTGAATGATACTCTGTCAATTAAGATCAGGAAGTATAAATGTACACAAACTGGGGAATTTCTGAACTAGTAGTTACTAGATTCCTCTCTTAGCTCATTGTTCCTCTCACCTGACTCCTAGCTGATCCTCCAGAGGATTTTCAGAGGCTGTAAATTGCATGGAAAGAGATTGTCCATCCTTCTCCCACAGAGCAGCTGGGAGATTTGAACCACATACCTTTGGGTTGGCAGCACAACTCCTTGCCAGCTAGGCCACCACAGCTTTTGCTTCCTTGTGAGTTAGAACCGACTCACAGCTGACTCTCCAGCCGGTTTTCAGAGGCAATCAATCACAGAGGAAGAGGTTGCCCATCTTTCTCCTAGTGGATTCGAACCATTGGCAGAGCAGCTCCTTACCGCTAGACCACCGGAACTCCCTGTGTTTCCACAGTAGTGTTAAAATTTGGTTATGTACAGTCTATACACAGTGAATACAAAATTACCCATTCCTTTAAAACGTGATACACAGTGAATTACCCATTCCTTTAAAACGTGATTATACTTCCTAGAATTAATGTCTCCTTTTGATCAAAATTCTGGCAGTAGAAATGTTACTGTGCTCTCTGTAAACCATACCTAACAGGACAGGAAGTGCTGCCAGCATGGCGCAGTCACTCCCCACTAGACAATGGCTGTCACTGCAGGTGGCTCCTGCTGGGGCTGTGTTTGTGGGATTCAGCTAGATCACGACACTTAATATCCCTTACAGAGAATTTTTTTTTAAGCTGCTGCTTGGCACTGTCCCTCAGGCTTCAAAGGGGTTGTTTTCTAAATTATGGTTCCATTGCTTTGTTTCTGGGCCACTAAGGTAGCCATAAGAAAGGACTGATGACTTGGTTGGCAGTGGAGCTCCTGCCTCACGCTTGGGCCTGGGCTTGGTCACTTAAGTAGCCCAAGTCCCAGATTTGAGCCCTTTCTGATATGGAGTAGGGGGAGCTGCTGTGGAGGGCTGGACTCTGAGCAGCTGCTTTTTCTCTGAGCACCAGGCAGAATCCCTACTCCCGCCCTGGGCCTGAGAGCAGGCAGGCTTGAGCATCCTTCACTTTCTTCCAGACTTCACTCCTGAATTCCAGTGTTCAAGATGCCAGGGACCTTTTGCGCATATTAATCTTATATGTTTGAAACAAGTCACTCTAAAACATTTTTAAAAGGGATAGAGACCCAGGGAAGCGATCTCATTCAATCCCTGACCATGAGAAGCCACTCTCTATTGGCTGCTCAGCCATCAGGAGCCTGATGGGCATTGGGTAGGAGGACCCTCTTTCTAGTTGAGGAAGTGGCCTGCCGTTCTCCAGAGCCTATCCTCTTGTCCTTCACTCACCAGAGACAGGAAATAAGCTATCCTGGCCCTGGAAGAGACCAGGGGTTTGGAATTTCTCCTCAACTGGTGACAATGTAGAACATAGAAATGTGGAACCGTGAGGATTTGTCACTTTAAGGAAGGACATCTGGTTCAAACCAACAGGAAGTCATAGAGTGATCTGCAGGGACTACTGCTGCTGGCAGGGAGGACAGCTGCTGGCCTTAATCCTGGCCCCAGGGAGGTGAGATGAGCTGCAGTATTATGGTTGGATGGCCATAGTTTCATGTGACTTTAAGGTAACTTAGCTATGAAGCTCAAGCAGCCACAGAACTCAGCTTTTGTTTGTGGTATCCTCATGGAAAGAAGTGGCTCCATGTAGGAAAAGGCCTTGCCTCATGTGGAGACAGGGTCCCAGGGCTTTGGTACAGAGTCATGTACACTGAAGCCTGGGTCACTGCATGTAGTACAAATTGAGACATTAGTTGACATAGGTTTTGAAATGGTCTGAAAATCGATGTCCTTAAAGCGAATGGTAAGAAAGAATAAATCCCACAATTCATTGTCATCGAGTCAGAACTGAGCCTCTGGTGGATTTGAACCATCAGAGAAACATCCCCTTTGGGTTAGTAGTGCACCTCCCTCCAGACTACACTACCAGAGCTCCGTGGTGTGGGACTCCCTCCCTCTCATTGCCGTGGATGGAGTGTTCTCATACAAGTCAGTGTCCTGGAACAAACTTAAGGGTGAAGGATCAGAGAGGAAGAGGGTCC